ACTAAAATCAAAGTTGAGATGGCGTCAGGGAAGAGCTTGCATGGTCAATGAGCTGGCCAAAAACCTGAAACACAAAGTGAAAGATATAAAATGCAATAAAAGAAAAATGCAAAGCTGTGATTTGTGCAAAGCAGGCAGAGACAAAACTAAATGTGTTGAGTGTCTATTTGAAAATAATAATGTCCAAGTAAAATGGATTTGGGCATTCATACATATAAAGATAGTAACGAGAGAGGCAAATTAACCTCTCGTACCATAGTATTGCTAGATTTGTAAGAGAAGGAACAATTATACAGAATTATGACTGCGTCAGGAGGATATAGAATGAAGCAAGACATAATTTTTTTAAAAATATAATTATTGTTAAAGAATAATAGTTGGATTGTTTAACTTTCAATTTCACTAAAAAATTTATAGCTCATTTACTAACGGGTATGATGAAAAAACTTTGAATGTATTATTTAAAGGCGACAAATTTAGTTTAATCCTTGAAATAATATTATTACCCATCAACGATGGCAAACAAAAATTATATTATTAACCACCAAAATTGCAATTTGCAATTACAATTATACATTAATTGGAAGGATGAGTCGACCTAAATACAGAAAGTGAAGGTAGGTGACACTATTAACTGTACATTGACAAATCTTACCACATGCTATGCATCCGTATTTGGTCAAGAATTTCTTAAAATTATGAAAGCTGGACGACGAAGAAAAAGAGCTTTGAGCACTAGTCCCGTTAACGGAGAGTAAATTGTAAGATGTAGTGAAAAGAAATTTATATCTTGGAAAGTAAATTGAAAATCGATGCAAATTTGAGGGGCCGAGTTACTATTTTTTCCTAAATCCCGGGCTAAGAAAAAGAGAAACCAGGGAAATGGGAAAGCGATGGAGAAGGCGGATGCGCAAAACCTGACCTAAGCTCTTCAAAGTTGCAGAGCGTAGAGCTGCTCAGTATTTCAGTGCCAATAAAAAAGTTTGAACTTTGAATTTGGTACTTGGAAGATAACAGCAACAGATCATCAGAGATGGCTGCCACTGCTAGTGTGAGCAGAAAGAAACTCATGGTCTCGGCTCTCTGCAAACACTTTTCTTTAAATCCAGTAAGTCGAAGTTCATTGTTGTAATCTGCAATTTTTCAGTCTGCTTTCATTGTCATCGACGGATTTAAAATACTCATTTCATATTCGTTTACTTTAGTTTTCGATTTTCAATGGGTCTCATCTGGTCCTCCAGGATTTCCCAGAGTGTATAAACCTTTTCTCTTTCAAGGACCCCGCCCTTTGGTAGTTGATTGCTCGTCTAATGACTGGCAATATGCAAAGTTATTAATTGCATATGAGCATATTTTCAAAAAACCATTTGTGGTTGCTTCAATGGACAGAAGCAGTTTGGCGTAATCAATAGGACTTCACTGAGATGCATGTGTATGCTATTGCGCATTTTCTTTGATTTACGTTTCTTTGAGGAAATCTTTAGAGGCAAGCAGAATTTTTATCTATGACAAATTTCTTAGAAGATCAGAATATCGTTTTACCTGCTAATTTCGCCCCAGCTGAAGATAAGAATATTGTTTGACCTGCCAAGTTTGCCCCAGTTTACATATCTATATCTTACATCTATTGCATTATATTGTAAAGTCCTCACTGTACACCTGTAAACTGACACTGAATTCGTGCTAGCAAAACGTTGCTCAAAATTAGATATCTGAATTCTAACTGGGGAGTAGGAATATTAGCAAGTTTTTCTTTTGACTCTGAAGAATGAATCTTTGAAAAACTTCCTGCTTTATCTTTTAATGCAGAATGTTATTCCAGCTGATGGTTTAGAAAGTGATGTTAAGAGTCTTTACTTAAGCCTCTCAAAGGCATCAGGACATGGGTTCAATGACAGTAACGAGGTAAATAGTTTTTTCCAGCATTTACTCATTGATAAACTGTTAATGGGCATTCAATTTCTCCGTTAATGCAAGTTAATAGGCCATTAGGATTTTAAATTACTTAGCTTTCTTCTCCCTCTCTTTCGTTATTGCCATTTCTTGGCTATTGTGAAGCGTCTTATTTGTCAAAAATCATGTATTTTGAGCATTGATGTCCAGTGTTGGATTTGAATCTAAATTATAATGTACTCCCCAGAATGTTATGCCTGGCACCTGGTTTAATTTGATTTCTTACCCTTAATACATTTTTCACATGCAGGTGATGAAGTGGGTGGCATTTGCAGAAGCTTTTCCTGAAACCCCTGAAGCTGCTTTTGAGGTTCTCAAGGGTTTAAATGACGAACTCTCTGGAAAGTCTGTCCTTTTAGGCAGTGGGTTGAAGCTGTCTGAAGCTGATCTTGTAGTTTTTTCTGCTGTACATTCCTCCCTGGTATGCATCATGCCATCCTCATCATACTTTGATTTCAAAAAATAGAGAAAGAAAAAAGATGACTCCCTCCCCCTATATCCTAAAATTAGTTGGTTGGTCCTTTTTTCGTCTTTCTAGCCCTCACTAAATTAAAGGAACGGATGATTTACTGGCATAATTAGGGAGAAACTCAGCATGGAATAAATACTTATGTTTTGAGTTTGAAGTTGAAATCTAACAATGTTTTAATGGATGCTTATTGCCAGGTCTCCCTTTCAGAGACGAACAGAGAGAAACTGCCACATGTGTTGAGATGGATGGATTATGTTCAGGTATATTCTACAGGTTAAGTTTGGCTATGTCCATTGCCACTTGCATGTTAGGAACTATGTCATTTTGCGACTAAATTGCACACTATATTTGCTGGTGATTGGTGCTACTTTCTACCGTGTAATTGGATATCTTGATCATTCATAATATGAAATAAAATATGTGGCAACAGCTAAAGTTCCTCTGCACCCTGCTTGATATTTATTTTCTTTTCTGTATTTCTCCAGCTAAAGAAAAGTAACACTACCCAATTCCTAGTTAAGGTCTTGCAATAATTTTCTATACTACTACTTTCGTTTCTAATTATAAGACCCCATTTGTACCTCTAGTCCTAATTATAAGATACAAACAGGGTCTTATAATTAGAATTGGAGGCAGTAGTATAGAAAATTATTGCAAGACCTTAACTAGGAATTGGGTAGTTGTACTGAAGCCTGATTGGGAGATGATAGCACATGAAGAAGGAATATGCTTCAAAATCTACTTAGTTCCTGGTTATTTAATTCCATAGTACCACCTTGTGTATCGGTGTATGGAAGTTGGTGCATGTAGAAGTTCATAATTGGAGAGTATGCCCTTTTTTTTTTTTGTGTTAGTATGTGATTGGATGATTTGGTACACATTCCGTATTAGCTCTAAGGACGTCTCTTAATACTGCATAAATTAAAGCTTTTGCATCTTCACCATATCTCTTCAGTCTTGCTCTTAACCATATCTCTGTGTTCTTGATTAAATGTTATTCGTTTCAGCACAAGGAGGATTTTGGAGATTTATTTGAGAAAATATTGATACGGGTGCCTGCATTTGAGCCTTCGGTGAGCCATCATTTTCTTATTTCTTTTTAGTCATTTTTCCATAGACTCAACAAAACTTTATCATTAATTCACGTGTGTAGATTCCTGAAGTATAACCTTTGTGCTTATTTGCAAATTGCACTGCCGTAAATTTTAAAATTGTGTAAACTTAAAACAGAGAATCTGTAATTTTTTCACTTCAACTTCATGGCATCTTGGAGGAACACCTTGTACAAACCCTTAAAATTATGGATTATATCCATGCATATCTACTAGATATCTTGACGTGCCCTGTTATGCACCATAAGATGTGTATTTGATTACATGTGAAATCTCGTGGGGGCTGGCTTTTTCATTTTCCTTATTTGATTTTAATTGCAGGTAGCAAAATCTTTAGCAGCCGCTGAAGCTGAATTCAAAGAATCAAAGGCAAAAAAGACCGAGCAAAGCACTAAGAATGTAGACAAACCAGGAACAGAAGTAAGCACAGATAAGGGCAGCAAAGTTGAGGCAAGTTGTTTTTTTTTTTTTTTAAAGGTAATTGAAGATTGGACTTATTTTATGTGACAACATATTTTATTTTATTTTATTTCACTACTAGATAGTCTAGTTGAGGAGATACGACAGCATATAGTACTAATCATAATAGTGATAAAAAAGCCACTTTTCTATACAAAAACTTATATGCCAGCTGAATTTGTGCATGCTACTTCGATGGAAATTGGGATCTGTATATTAGATCCACTTCAACGCACTAACTTTTCAACTCTTTTACTTTCTATTTGGAACATGAAGGAAAAAGTAACAAGAGATAAGGATGCTGCTAAAGGGAATACAAAACCTGCTCAAACAGAAGCTTCAGAGAAAGATAAAGAACTTAGTGTCAGTTTGCTAAATATTCAGGTTGGACTAATTCGTAAAGCATGGAAGCATCCATCAGCAGATAGGTACTCTTGCAAAATAATCTTACGAAAGAAATTCTCATGATAAATTTATTCATGCTGTTATTGTTTGATGACTCCCTTTTACAACTTATATATTAAAATTATTGAACTTGATGCAGTTTGCTAGTTGAGGAGATAGATGTTGGGGATGCCAAATCGCGGCAAGTTGTCAGTGGATTGGCGAAGTTTTGCAGTCCTGAAGAGTTGACGGTAATATGGTTTCCTGACCTAGTGTTATACGATCAGATTGTCAGTTTGAATTGTAGCCATGTAGCTGTTGGATATGTTGATTTTATGTCCTAAATCTTATGGTCGATGTCTTTGTGCTTCTCAGAACCGTCGCGTTGTACTTATTACAAATGTCAAACCTGGAAAAACTACGAGATGTCATGTCAGAGGGACTGGTACTTATCCTAATAAATCATACTCATTTTGCTACATTAACTAACTTTTGTCGAAGCGTGTCCTGTGATGTTTGAATGACAGTTGCGTGCACTTGACTCCGATTTCCCAGGTCCTATGTGCATCTAATGAAGATCATACTGTTGTGGAGCCCTTGCTTCCTCCGGAAGGGGCTAAAATTGGAGAGCGTGTTTCATTTTCCGGGTAATCTTGCAAAATTTCTTGAACCTACAGGCAAAGATTTCCTGCTTGAGTGGCTTATTATATTCTCTATATGTAGTTTGCTAAGTTAATGTCTCCGCATAGAACATGCCACAGACGTGAGCAAGGCAGTTCAAAGTTTGCCAGTTGCTACTGGTCATTAAGAGCTTCTGAGCTTGGCTACTTTTAAATTCTTTGAGCATTTCTATTTTCTGTTTTTGAATAATGACTGCTCATGGCTGGAGAACATTTGTGGATGGCCATTTTCATGTTAGCAATTATAACTCTTGATCTTTTGTGAAGTATTCTTAAAATAACTTGTTTGTAGCTGCTGAAGAAGTTACACCTCTACTTTTTAGAACTATGATTGACAAACTATTTCATATAATGCTTCGGATATGGTTTCCTTCTGGGATTATTTATTTTACACTGATTATTCATTCCTCTACTTTAGGATTGATGGGAAGCCAGAAGATGTACTTAACCCAAAGAAGAAACAGCTGGAGAAGATTACACCAGTATTCCCTCAATCCTTTTAATTGTAGAAAATTTTTTGGATCTCTGTTCTAGTGCCTGTCGTGTGAGATGTCCTGCAATCAAAATTATGGCTCACTGAGAAGCTTTTATAAAGCAATAATCCCGATACAGGGTATTTGGCAAAAGTACAAATGTTAATTGAAAAAACTAAAATGCACAAACTTGAAGATTTTTGGCATTATAACATGATCATATGATGTTGAGGCGTTGTGGGTGTTTTGTAATGCAGAATCTTTTCACTGATGAGAAGGGAGTGGCCACATTCAAGGGAATACCTTTTATGACGACAGGGGGACCATGTACTTCTTCCATTCCCAAGGCTACTATAAAGTAATATTTAAGATGAGGATGAGGATGATGAAGGCCCTTTTTTATTAAGTTTGATGACCATCCAAAGGCTGTACCTATCATTTTTCACAGTATTTCAAATTTTGAACGGCAAAGCGAAACCAAGAAGTCCAAATGGATGACATGTTTATCTCTCAATTTCAATTTGCATGGCATGCATCTTCTCTAAGGCTATGTCTGACTCGGGCCGTTTTGTAGCATGTTTTAGTCTAAAAGCAGTACCAAAATAGAATTAATACAATTTTTAGTCGTTTAAATTTATTTTCATTTTAGTTTTGATTCTTGAAGTTTCAATTTATAGGTTTTCGTTCCTGAAGTTTCTTTTTATTTAAAACAATAGTCTCTATAATTCAATAAAAACTTGGATAATTTTACCTTTTGAAGGTTGAAAATTTATGGTTTGAAACTTGAAAGATTAAAATTAAAATGAAGTCAAACTTAAGAGATGAAAGATTATATTAACCCACCAAAATATTTAGAGCATATTTGTGTTTTTAATTGATTGCGGATATTTTTGTTTTAGGTTGTCTCTTTGTTTTTTTCCAAATTGTTAAACTATTGAAAATCTATTGATTATGTTTAATTTAAATTTTTAGGACACTAAATTATTCTAGGGCCATTTCTGACTCTGGGCGTTCTGTAGCGTGTTTTAGTCCAAAAGCAGTGCCAAAAGAAATATTTTTTTCCAAATATGCTCTAATTTTATTTAGTAAATTATTCCACTGCTTATTATCTTGCCGGAAAGTATCTAATAAAATGAAAGTTTAGTTTTATCGTTTAGCTATAAGTCTGGCATTGCCGTAGATAGTGAATGCCGGCTTTAAATGGAAAATATGGGCACAAGATGAGGATAGCTAAAGCTGAGGTGAAAGCGTGATTATACCAAAAAAAAAAAAAGGATCCGTAATAAGTATACACACGTACACGAAAAAAATAAGAGTGGCTTCTATTTGTTTGAGATGATTTGATCATATTTAAATAAGGCTTTTGAATGCGTCAATGAGAAGGGTTAAACAAACAGTATCGAGTCTCCTGAAAAAGGGATAAAAGGTCAAAAAGAATACTCAATGAAGTTATTCAGTGAGATCTTTTGATTAATAATTTATCTAACTATTTGATTTTTTATAGAACTTAATAGTATCTTGTGATTCATATAGCTGATCTTATCTAATGAGTAAAGCTTCGCTGTACATACAAAACCATAACATAACCATGAAATTATACAATTATGATTTAAATTTTTCAAAATACGAAGTTTTTTTTTGTAGAATTTTTTATAGCTTGTCTTCTATTTATAATGTTTTTGTTAGTGAAGCTGCAAATCAATTAACGACAAGTATTAGCACATCTGTACGTTCAATAGTTATTATCAAATCTGAGAAATAAGAATTACGTGTATGGTTCGAATTATAAATTTTTAGGAAGATCAACTTACGAAATACCAAAAAAAAAAAAATTTAAATTACTCTTTCGATCCTAAACATTGGAATGAGTTAGAAAGTTAGTCTTGGTTATTGTTTTTAGAGTAAGTTACTTTCAGTTCTAAATGTAAGTACTTAATCAATTTTATTTTTCATATTTATTATTTTTTGAAAATTAATTTAATTTATAAACTGATATATAGTCTAATATTGTATGGGAGTATTTTAGGGGGATTATACCATATTTGTTATAATTAAGTAATTAATATAGATTCATTAACTTATCCCAATCAGTTAAATACTACTCCAATTCTAATTATAATACTTTATTTATAGACTATAAACAAGATCTTATAATTCAGACAGAAAGCAGTAACTTTTATTTAAACATCATAGCAGTAGCACACAAAAGGCTAGTGAGATTCCAAGCTAAAGCAGATATGATCGTTTGACTTGAAAAGAAATCCCAATCCAATTTAGATTTCAGTTTGTGTTTTTATGCGTTTCTAGCGCATTATTACACAAAGAGCTAAGGAGATTCTCATGTGGCTGGATTGGAAAGAGCAAGGAGATAACCAAACAGGAAAAAGGGTGAGATGACACGTCTCCCCAGGAGTCTTTAGGGAATCTCCGTCTCTATATGTCATATTGCAGAGCTCCTTCCCTTGGCCTTTGCTTTCTTCCCTATCAAAACGCCTTGGCTTCATGTTACTATGCTACCTACTTAGAGTCTTGTACTATACACGCAAACCTCGTGTCTTAAATATAAAAATTAATTACAAATTTAATTTGATTTTAGATATAAAATTTTAAATTATTTTATATTTTATATTTTTTTAAATAATCCCCATAATGATCACATATATTAAAAGGTTTTTATTCTAATACACATAATTAATAAAAATATTTTTTTAAAAATAATAGTCTTGTTATTCTTAATATAAGACCTATTTAACTAATTTTATTAGATTAGAAAAATTAAGTAAGTTAGTTAATTATAAAAAAAGTAACATATTTTCCTAAAACACCATAATCATCTTTTTTTAATACCCTCTCTCCATTTCCTACTTGATTATGGTTAAGGGAGTATCTATAAGGGTAATTTAAAAAAAATTGATAAATATGAGAAATAGGTCTTATATTTAGAACCAAAACCAACTTAGGAATTGGGTCTTATATTAAAGATCGGAGGAATATATATTTATCATGAATAACTAACTTAACTAATTTTTTTGTTATTACGTATATATATTAAAAGTATCTGAATATTTGACCTTAGCTTACACTCCCTCTGTTTTAATTAGATAAGTTAGCCTCACATGGTTTTTTTTTTCTTTGTTATTGTTAACTTGCACATATTACTGGAAATGAAATACGTCGATGAAATATTCTTTATATTTGTTAGTTGCAAATATGTGACATGCTTAATGTAAAGTCGATCTAAGATCGTTGAATTCTGTGTGTTGCGCAATAAAAGAAAGAATTCGATAGGAATTAATATTTAAAGATTTAGAAATTAAAAAAATGAGTAGTAAAAACTTAAAATTAAAATGAAAACTATAAAAGTAATAATTGTTGCTTTTTAAAAAATTAACATTCACAGGATTTAAAATTATATATTGATGATTGATGTTTTTTCTCATATAGTAGTATTTTTTTATTTGTCAATACACTTAGTATTTGCAAAGAAGAGATATTTTTCCCTTGTATAAAAATTAAGCATTTAATAGATATTTTATCCTTTTGCTAAAAAAATAGATATTTTATCCATAATATCATTAGTCAACAATTATTATCTTCAATTATTTTATCAAGAAATTTAAATTACCTCGTTTTCCCATTCTCTCTTTTTCCCTTCTCTGTATCAAATAATTAAATTACAGAATTGGAAAAAATAAATAATAATTTTAAAATATCGATAATCATGTGACAGATTTTTTTTTGGGACAATCCCATTTGAATTCTAAAATGCCAAATTAATCATTCTAATTTCATAAAAAACAAATAAGTTTATAAGTATTAATTTGAGATTTACAAATTTTGACAATTTATCTACGTGCTCTTTCTTTCATTCTCTTTTTGTCAGTCAGAATCATAGAGAGTTCTTCTCTCTCTCTCTTATAATATTTCTAGCTTCCTTTTGTTCAAAAACAATTACAGACCGTCTTCTCACTTCCAATAACGTGTTTGGATTGTCATTAGAAGGAGAAAAATTGTATTGAAATTGATGAAACTAAAGCTTGTAGGTAAGTTGAAGCTTTTGGGTTGTTTGGATAGCCATCTTGTACAACCAACTTCTGCCTCAAAAGTTGATTGCAATGAGAAGCTCAAATTTTGAGCTCTTACAGTTAACGCGGAGAGAGAAAACAAATGAGGATGAAAAGAAAGATAAATGTATTTAAGTATGTCTTATTTTGATCCAATAATTTGATTTTTTTAATAGAAATTTAATTATTTTTTATTTATTACTTTTTTAAATTTTATCAAATTATCTCGGTAACAATATTTTTATTTTATAATTTCACCAAAAAAATTATTTTATTTTATTACAATAATTTTAGGTATTTTTTTAAAACTATTATCACATTAAAAACATATAATATCAAACACTATTATTTAATAAAATTCATGCTATTTTCTGTCATTTACAACTGAACACACTTTTCTATTAATCATCCACAAAGTTTTAAATTTTTCAACTGTTTTTTTATAAGCACCAATCCAAACATATATACTAACTGACTTTTATTCTAACTTAAGCCTAGAAAAGTTAGTTAGAATAAAATTCAGTTTTGCCACCGCCAATTCAAACACACCCCAAATCATCCCTCTCTGAACTTCCAACTCTAGTTGACCCGTTGTTTGCATTGCCTATTTTAATTACCTCTACGTTCCTCATGTTACCATTTTTCAATCATACAATAGGCTACTTCTCTATTCCTCTGCCTTCCTCATGCTGCTTGAAGAACACATATCTGTGCCTTGGGCTTTCTCATTCCTCATTTGAATATATGTAATATAATTGATATCACAGAACTACTGGTTTTTGTTAAATACTATCATTTTAATGGTCAATTCTATTACAAACGCAGTAAATCATAAAAGTTATTGTTAATATGTGTATTATTATATACTTTAGGTGTACTTGTTTACTGTCTACTAGTTTCTCAAAACATTTACTCTATTGTTTAATTCTCCCAAGAAGTTATACTTGGTGAAAATTGACCAAGTCAATAGTATGAAAATGATCAAATATATATTTCAAGTTATCAGTTACGCTACATGTCTAGTCAATTTGTCTAACTCAGCCCTAAAAAAATTACATCAAGTCTGAAAATGACCAACAACATGTTGCAAAACGTGTTATGGAAATGGCCATATGCATTTCGTAAGTTGTTAATCACGTTACACATTTGCTAAAATTGTCTAAAGATGACTAATAATAAGTTGCAAAATGTATTATGGAGATAGTCATTTTCATTTTGCAAGTTGTCAATCACATTACATGTTTAGTAAAATTGTCTAGAAATTGCTAATAACAAGTTGTAAAGTGTGTTATGAAATAGTTGAATTCATTTTGCAAGTTGTTAATCACGTTGCATGTTTAGTAAAATTGTCTAAAAATGGCTAATAACAAGTTGTGAGATATGTCATGAAAATAGACAAATTCATTTCACAAGTTCTCAATCATGCTACATATTTAGTAAAATTGTTTCGAAATGGGTAATAACAAATTGTGAAATATATTATGGAAATAGGTACTTTTATTTCACAAGTGATCAGTCACCTTACATATTTAGTAATTTTGTTCAACTCAATCCCCCGAGTTTTACCTAGTTTGTAAATGGTTAATAACAAATTACAGAACACATTATGAAAATAGTCATATTCAATTTAAAAGTTGTCAATCACTTTACAAAACTTGTTGATACTTCTCATTTTATTTCAGTGACAGTATAATCTTTTCGCTAAACTTTGCAAATCCCAAATTCTCACCTCATGCCCATTTGGTTCTTTTACTTATTTACATGACTTATTTGTTATTTTAAATATCAAAATGTATTTTTGAGTCATTTTTCTTTTTTTTTTTAACTACTAATTTTACAAAGTTGAGTCATTCCACAATATTTTCTTAAAATTCAAACAAAAGGGATATCATCAGAATCTTAAGTCACGTCAAGTTGTGCAAAAAGTAGAGTTTTCCCCGTTGCATTGCAGCTTGACTTTTCCCTTCCCGTGTCACAACATGTCACCCCTCTTGGCCCTCCACTCTCTCTGGTTTTTGTCTTTCCTCATATAGAAATATGCACAGAGCCATTCGTCACCTGCTTATTTGACCTATTTATGTCATGAACATCGCCTCTACCATGCAGAATCTTACCCCATAAACGAATCCAACCGTCACTTCAACTCCAAGTCAAGCACAGAACCTTAATTATTATACTCTTTCCAACTTCCTTCGTCAAGTTTACAATAAATAAAGTGAGGGACATGTTGAATAATGATGATGAGTACTGATGAGATGATAGAGTCGAAATGTTGTTGATTTGCAGGTCAACCTAATATTTTTTATCATGACTGTGTTTGACATAAGCGCTGACATGTTCAGAGAGAGCACTCGAACAAGGGTTTGATTCTCTTCACGTTTTGGGGTTGTAAAGTGAACTTCATGTCACAGATCTGTGTTTTGCTATCTTTTCTTTCTGCATTGATGACACAATCACAGGATGCTGCACTTGGATTTTATTCTCCAGCTTACGACGCTGTTCCTGCAATTTTTGTACTCTCTTTGGAATAAGGTGGGTCAGAAAAGGAAATGAAAAAGAAATCGAGATTTTTTTCTTCTTTCCTTTTGATTTTCTTTTTGTTACCCAGATTTTATCAGATGCAATTTCCGTCAGAAAATCAAGCTCTTCGATGTCTGATAGGCCGGGTCCGGCTGGGAAATTCAGACAATTAAGATTGTGATAATCTTTTTTTGTTGGAACCTCTTAGCAGACTATTGTGTCCCAAAAGTTTTGATTTATTCCAATCCAACCGTATCAAAGGTGAATAAGTTAAGAACCTCTCCCAGAATGAAGGTATTTTTATACTTTGAGTCTTTAAAATGAAATCAATTACTTGATTGCAAATGGAAGTTGCATTCTGGGTGAGATCCTCATATCAGTGAACTTATTCATTTACAAAGCTTATCTTTTATCAATACCTGGAAATGGGAATATATATTAATAGGGCAAATACAAAGATTATTAATAATTGTGCTTAGCTTTTTTTTGACCAGCAATTGTGCTTAGCTTAAAAGAAGTTTGTAGGGTGAGGATTCTCAAAAATGAATGCAAAGACTGCAGATACTGATTCTGAAATCTCGTCAAGACAGAAATGAAAGAAACTATAAATGAGGGAGAGAGAAAGGGTGGGTTAGGACTGAATCAAATCTCATAGATACCCCAAAAGGATCACGAAATATCTGTGACCTGATATTATGTATGTCTGTGTCTCTCTCTCTCTCTCTCTCTCTCCGGTTTTCTCAAATTCCTTTCCTACCAACCACTTTGGATTTCATAGGCATTTACTCTGTATATATACCACCACCTCGTTCCTTTCATACATCTCTTGTGACTTTCAAGTTTGTTTGCTGTTATGTTCCTTTCTCTCTTTATTATAGGCCTGTCAGAGAAGAAGTAAGCGTTTTGTTTTTATCTTGGTCCTCCTGCAATTAATACTCTTGCAGCCCCCTCCTTTATCTTAACTGCGTTTATTACCTTCTGCAGCAGACCTCCTTCTCCTTCTTTATTATCTGTGTTTCTAAGATTCAAAAAACGCATGGCTTCTTCTTCCTCTTCCTCACCAAATTGGGTCATGGAAAATGGAGTTATGCCCCATGTTTTAGCTGTTGATGACAACCTCATTGACCGCAAACTCGTTGAGAAGCTCCTCAGGAATTCTTCTTGCAAAGGTACATACATAAATAAAGCACTTTCTGTTATAAATTCTTTCAGAAACACTCTTCTGGTGTTTAGTTTTTCAGCCATTTGTAACTGTAATGGCTATTTGCTTGCAGTGACAACTGCAGAAAATGGACCGAGGGCATTGGAATTTCTGGGGTTGGCAAGTGATGAAGAAAGCACCTTGAAGAGCACAGTAAGTGACTCGTTCTATTTTCATAGTGGCCAAACTACTATACATTTCACCAAACTGATAATGAAATGCTTCTTGTAGGGATCCAAAGTGAATATGATTATCACAGACTATTGTATGCCTGGGATGACAGGATATGAGCTACTCAAGAAAATAAAGGTAGAGGGCACGAAAGAGTATAAGATATTTTCCCGAGTCAGTGACACAATTTTATATTATTAACAGCCACAATCTTTTTTGCTTTGAAAACAGAAATCGTCAATCATGAAGGAAGTTCCCGTGGTGATAATGTCATCTGAGAACATCCCAACTAGGGTGAACAAGTGAGTCTCACAGCTAGCTACATGCTACAGATGGTGTTTGTGTCTATGTATATTGTTGGTGTTCTGACTATTCTCTGTTGTTCGTGAAAAAAGGTGTTTGGAGGAAGGTGCTCAGATGTTCATCCAAAAGCCCCTCAAACAATCTGATGTAAAGAAGCTGACATGTCAACTGATGAACTGCAGAGGCTAGCTAAAAGAACCTTTCTTTTTTATGTGGGTGTAAATTTTGAAAGGGGCCCCTGTAACTTCATATCGGGGTTCAGTCTTGCGGCTTAACTTGTTTAGGTAGGAGAATGAAGATCATTGTTTTGAGGATGTTTGTCTTGTCTCCTTTCTTTTCATTCGGTACATACCAGTTAAGTTTTCCTGGCACATATTTCGCCATTTTTTTTCAGTTCAGGGACTGTTTGGTGTTTTTTATGGAAGTAAGAATTATGTGATCATTAAAAAAACAGAACTCCTTGCTTCAGAAAATGGGCGTTATTATAGACGTTTCCACTTTGCTGAAACTGAAAGGTAGGCAAAAACCAAAAAATGTGGCAGAATTGCTGGAACCAGCAATACACATGTTTGCATAAGTTCCAACTTGCACATTAAGAAGAAGCCATAAACAAAGTTTTATACATAGATATAGACAATTGCAATTGCAATTATTCAAAAAAAAGTTCAGAACCATATTGCAAAAAAAAAAAAAATGCCCTTTCTTACTCTCTCTTCCCAAAGTGCCAAGAACAAGACAGAAGTCAAAAGAAACCACTGATTCTGTTATTCAAACAATGGATTCCATGAAGCAATCAAACAATCTGGGTTGGGGGGTGGAGAATGGAGACCCAGATGAATTAGGATTCATAATCCATAGTCACCAATTGAAGCGTCTGGGAAGATGGTGGCGATGTCTTTGTTCATCTAAACCAGTACACTGCATAACAGGATAACAACACACAAACATGCACCTTCCGATTCCTCTGAACATGGTGGACACAGCATGACAAGGACACCCACAATATGCCTTCAATCTCGTGTGCCTCTTCTTCCTTCCTTTGCGACTGCCTTCACGGCGATCCATCCTGCAAAAATAGCAGACACCCAAAAATCTAATTCCCCTGTCAGAGCCAAAGATATCAGCTTTGGATTGGATCTTTACCTAGCTTGAAATTGCAGTTGGTGGCAGAGAATGAATATGAGAAGGTTATATGGTAGGGGAAAGAGACTGATTCTGGAAGGAAAATATATTTAATGGAGAATATTCGGTTTTAAAGGCTTCTTCTGGTGAGGAAGGAAGCAAAGTTGAGATCAAGTTTTAAAATTCAGGTCTGGTTGTAGTTGCATCTGTGATATACTCTTTTATTTTGGACGCGTTTACGCCGCGTTTGGTCTTATGATGCTATCTTTTTCTTCGGCCTGACTTGATGCTACCAAACACAATCAAGTCGTCCCATTTGTCCAATTTAGTTGCTATTCTATTTTGTTTTCTTTTTGTTTCTGCGACTTTGCTCATTTTTCCTTTTACAAACGAAATCTGGTCAGTATTAATTTGGAGGATGGTTGGCTCAGATTAATAAGCCTGAGATTCAATTGTTTTGTCATTAATTTTGAAATAACCCAGAATGCTCCCGTACAATAAGCCTGAGATTCAACTGTCTTTATTAATTTCGTACAAGAATTGTTTTGTCGTTAAATTTGAAATAACCCAGAGTGCTCTCGTATGCATATATGATGATATTCAAATTCAACATCTAAGTTTGAAAAATAAAACGATAATATCAAATTCAAATTGTGTAGGCTTAGGTGTCACATGTATTTCAAATACTTGTGTGCGTGTGTATGTCTCTTGTATAATTAACAATTTGACACGTCATGAATTTTGATTTTGCTGATATTAAAATTGAATTGAAAATATGGTAAAAGACCACATGATTAAGAAAGATGGAATTTAGGAGAAAATTTTAAAAAAAGTTCAATCCAATTGAATCAACATGATTTTCAAACTAATTATGTCAAATGATACTTTACGTGAAGTTAATTTCATGGGTTGAGAATATTATAGTAATGTAAAAATCAAATGGTACCCTAAAAGGGGAGAAAAAGAACAGAGATTGGAGTTGGGAGGCAGTAAAAGCCATAATCAGCGGCGTTGTGAAATTTGGGCCCCGCTTCTCTCTAGTTACTAATAACGAAAAGCAGTCCATTTACAACAACATAATAGTATTTGGAAGTATCTAAAAGTATTTTTTAGAAGTATTTTTTTATAAAATGAGACAAACTCTTTCATATATTTATGAGAAAATCCCAAAAAAAAACCCTTGGAATATAGGAAATTCCTAATTAGGTTCTAGAATTGTGCAAATGACAGAAAGGGTCAGTAACTCAATCTATCATTTATAAAATCAAGAGGAATTGACAACTTTGTCCTAGCTAAGCAAAAGTGAGTAATTATTCTCTAAACAAATTTAGGTAACGCTTACACTGTTCTAGTGATTACATGATTAGTTGTAGTTAATAACAAAGTACCTGACTACGAAAAAGTGAGTAGTTATTCTTTACACGAATCTAGGTAACGTTTACACTGTTCCAGAGATTACATGACTAGTTGTAGTTAATAACAAGGCACCTGACTACGAAAAAGTGAGTAGTTATTCTCTACACAAATCTAAGTAATGTCTAAACTTTTATAGTGATTCCTTAAATCATTATAGTAAATGAATACATATGAGGACAACGTTGTTAATTCCTTTTGATTTTACAAATGACAGATTGTGTCATTGATCCTTTCTGTTATTTACACAATTACAGGATCCAATATGAAATTCTTTATATTCCAAGGGCTTTTTTTGATATTTTCTCTATGTTTATTTTGTATATCATAAAAGTACTTTTAAAACTATAGTTTTAATTCTATCTAAATACCTCAATAATCTCCGTGACAAGCAGAGATTGAATGGAATAAAAACAACTAATTATTCCTAACATGATGAATTAATATTTAAATTTTTACTAGGAGAGTTGTTCATGTTTAATACTTGATAATGTTTTGCACAAGATTATTTCTAGTAAAAAAATAATTGTGTCTAGAAAAAGAAGCAGTCAATATGTGAATGTATATTATAGGGAAAATGACATTGAGGTCCCACAGAACTAAAAATACAGCAAAAATGTCCCCTGAAATCCCATAATTTTTCTGAAGTCCCAAAGGGACTTAGATGCAATTTTCAGAATCTGGAAATTACCCTCTTGCCCTTGCTTATGAGATTCGAAAATGCTGAAAGGAGATTAGAGCCTCTGTTTTTTGTTTGACCGGAAGAAAGCTGAAACCCTGTTGTGCTTTTGTGCTGCTGGAAATCTGGTGAAAACCCATCGCGATGCTCAAATTCCCCTCACAACCCACCGAAAATCGTGAGCCTTCGTGCTGGTTGGTGTGTGTTGTGATTTAAGTTGGGTGTGTAGAATGATAATGGGTGCTCTGTTTTTGGGTTGTTTTTGGGTGGTTTTCCTCTGTTCTGACATTGGTTTAGTGGCAAAGGAAGAAAAAGATGAAGGTTAGTGAGGCTAGAAACCCTTAGCACGAAATGGGACTGTGTTGTCAATCAGGCCGCGATTGTTGTCAATGTGTGCCGCTACACTTGTCAATGTAGCTCTTTAAGTTGTCAATGACAGTTGCGTGCTTCTTGATGCAGGTTTAAGTTACTGATGGTTTTTCAAAGCTTTTGTTTTTGGTTTAGGATTCAGAAGTTAATGAATGGAAAAGCTGTGTTTTTGGTTGGTGTGTGTTGTGATTTAAGTTGGGTGTGTAGAATGATAATGGACGCTCTGTTTTTGGGTGGTTTTCCTCTGTTTTGACGTTAGTTTAGTGGCAAAGGAAGAAAAAGATGAAGGTTAGTGAGGCTAGAAACCCTTAGCATGAAATGGGACTGTGTTGTCAATCAGGCCGCGATTGTTGTCAATGTGTGCCGCTACACTTGTCAATGTAGCTCCTTAAGTTGTCAATGACAGTTGCGTGCTTCTTGATGCAGGTTTAAGTTACTGATGGCAAGTACATCTGGAAAACATCTATTTTGCTTTGTTCACATAGGGAGAAAGTTTATAAATGATGGAGAAGATAATATGAGATATGTGGGAGGTAGTGTAAGAACAACCAATGTAAAGGAGGGCACAAGTTATGAAGAATTGAAAGAAATTATATCATCAATTGTTGGAAAAGAAAGCAACTCATTTCTTCTGAAATTCTCAGTTGTGTTTGATAAAAAAACTTTTGTGGAGTTGGTAGATGATGATGGGGTGGAACATTTGATAAAGTTCAATGAAGAAAGTGGTCATGTGTATGTCGAAGAAAATGAAAATGAGGACCACATAGAAGCAACAAGGGATAATATATACAATGGAGGAGCAAGATGTGTAAGTATAATTGAACAAAACTGTAAATGGGTGTGAAGGGAATTTTTTGTAAATGGATACACACCAATAGTTAGTTTCTCGTAATTACATGCAATCCCTGTGTTTTTTTGGAATGGGTTGTGAAATAGGTGTAGTTTCATATATATGAAAGTGTAAATGAAAGTTGACTATGAATTGGCATGTTAGATTCTGCTGTCATTTAAGTTGTCATACCTGCACTCTGTATTGTCATTAGACCTGTTATGACTTATCAATAGAGCACTGTCACTTGTCAATTAATTTGCTGATGTAAGTTGTCAACAATATGAATTCAAGTTACATAACTTGTTTTAGTAACATATGATATTTTCAATCACTCTGTCATATTATATTTTTGGTTATTTGTCATATATAATCATTATTAATGAAGTGTCAATGGTGGCACTGTGACTTGTCAATGGTGGCATAGTGACTTGTCAATCATGTCCTTAAGACTTGTTAATGGTGGCACTGTGACTTGTCAATGGTGACACTGTGACTTGTCGTTGGTGGCACTATGACTTGCCAATGGTGGCACACTGACTTGTCGTTGGTGGCACTATGACTTGTCAATGGTGGCACACGGACTTGTCATTGGTGGCAATTTGACTTGTCAATCGTCGCACCGTGACTTATCAATGGTGGCACTGTGACTTGCCAATAGAGCACTGTCACTTGTCACTGGTAGCACTGTGACTTACCAATAGAGCAGAGTGACTTGTTAATTGAACATAACTCTGAGTAACCTTCTGATTAATTATATTTTAATATAAATATTACTTAACATTACAAATAAATAACACTTTCAGTTGTAAAAATTTTGAATATCAATTGTTAATATCCACATATTCATTTGTTATATCACTTGTCATTAACTCATGTTATATTACTTATTAATATTACATAAATTTGTCGATATCAATAAAGATATAAAACAACAAAAATAAAAATGTGAGTTGTCCCCAAGAAATTGGTATCATAACATCTGATAACAAAGATAATAATATTATAAACAGTCTGTGTTGCCATAAAGTGTTTGGGATTGAAGTGCCCTTTATTCATCCTCTTTTTCAGACGCAATCATCAATATGGAAATAGAAATCCCCACAAAGGAATATAGTAACCACTACAGAGCATACAATCTTCACAAATACTTTGAACTCCAAGCAAGACATATCAACTATTCAACCTCATTTTTGTAACTTTAACAATCCACCGTGGTGCTCAAAATCCACTCAATATGCCACCATTGGCAAGTCACAGTGCCACCATTAACAAGTCACATTGCCACCAATGACAAGTCCGTGTGCCATCATTGACAAGTCAAATTGCCACCAATGACAAGTCCGTATGTCACGATTAACAAGTCATAGGGCCACCAATGACAAGTCAGTGTGCCACCATTGGCAAGTCATAGTGCCACCAATGACAAGTCACAGTGCCACCATTGACAAGTCACAGCGCCACCATTAACAAGTCTTAAGGACATGATTGACAAGTCACTATGCCACCATTGACAAGTCACAGTGCCACTATTGACACTTCATTAATAATGATTATATATGACAAATAACCAAAAATATAAAAAGACAGAGTGATTGAAAATATCATATGTTACTAAAACAAGTTATGTAACTTGAATTCATATTGTTGACAACTTACATCAGCAAATTAATTGACAAGTGACAGTGCTCTATTGATAAGTCATAACAGGTCTAATGACAATACAGAGTGCAGGTATGACAACTTAAATGACAGCAGAATCTAACATGCCAATTCATAGTCAACTTTCATTTACACCTTCATATACATGAAACTACACCTATTTTACAACCCATTCCAAAAAAACACAGGGGTTGCATGTAATTACGAGAAACTAACTATTGGTGTGTATCCATTTACAAAAAATTCCCTTCACA